GGCTCCAGCCACGATGTCGATGAACAGACAAGAACATCATCATCATCATCATCTGCCACTCGTCTACGAAGAGACACGAACGCAGCTGCAGTTGCTCTGCAACAAGCAGTCTTGAAGACCAGACATACGCAGAGAGCATGTTACGTGTGTCCCAAGGAAAGGAAAGATCGGAATTGGTTTCCGTGTAAATGATTCTCTGGTTGCAGAACCCTTTTGTTTTCTGTTCAAAGGGTCCTGAAAAAGAATGATAGTTAGTGTTCTTTTCTCTTCATGTCTGGTTACATGATTATATCACAAACAGGAGCGGCGTACGAGTTTCGTGTGAAACAAGCAATGTTTCACCTGCGAGCTTCCAAGTGATTTTATTTGTTCATAGATATTTAGTTTTTTTTTCAATCGCATTAGAAACGGTTTAAATCAAATCTTTCACTAATAAATCTTAACCAATTGTAAATGAGATGAGGCCATAGAATTAATCGTACAAAGATTTGATTAATTAAGTATAAATTTATCCTTTTGTCCCAAGTAAAAGAATAGATGTTTGATTTGGACAGTTGTCCAAGACAACAACTCTCATGTTTTGGTAAATATGAGTGTCTTCTAGTCTCTAAGTTGGCCACCTCATCATTCGACTTTGAACATCCAAAAAGGACAATAATGGAATATAACCTTTGAACAAAATAATCTTTGTTGTTATTATTAAAGGAGAGACCCTCAAAGACCATGACTTTGACTTTGACTTTGACAAAAGAGTTCCACTACACATAACAACAGTCATGATCATGAACAACCTGATGATCTTCTTCGCGATCTTCATCACGAGACTGATGAGCAGAAGATTTATTGAAGAACTCTATGCAATCCGCAATGGCTTCACTGTAGTGAGAATGAGACGAGTAATACGAACTACACGACATCTTCGGCGGCTCCAATCTCTCTCCTCCTCCTCCACCGACGCCGGAGCCTCCGTGTTTTTTCCGGCAGCTCCGGCGGCCGGAGGAGGATGGGAGAGTGTGCATTAGCCTCATGAGGATTTTCCGGAGTCGGTGGAAGAGCTTCATGGCCGAGAAAGTGTTGTTGTTGTTGTTACAATCGTCGAAAGCTTCGTTTATATATATGGATCATGCAGAAGTCTTTGGGAGATGGGTTTGCATAGTTTAGTGTGTTTCTGCTGTTTTTATTATAAAGTTTCTGCCTTTGTTATTGAAATTTGTGTAGCAATGAAATTATCATAGTCTGCTTCGCATGTGTCTTGTTTGATTGTGTTGCCTCACAAGACACATGTTTATATATACATATGTTTTTTTTCCCTTGCGGTTGTTGGGAAGCCTATGCTTTTTTTTTCTTTAGTTTTTCATAACGTTCTTTACAAGAAAAAAGGTGAGTACACACACCAATTTAATGAATTTTCATAGCATCGTGTGAACCGGTGGATTAGTCAAGTCTAAGGCTAAAACATGCAAAGCTCTCGTTAACATGACCATAAATTTCATCAAGAAAAATTACCGACATCGACTTTAACTTTTTCTTTGGGTAAATTTGACTTCACTTTTTTATATGGAAGACTATTTTGGACTTATGTTTGGCCTCGTGATTTTTGATGGATTTTACAGGTGTGAGATCGTTTTATACCACAGTGTAATAAATCAAGTGAATGGACAAACTTTTTTTTTTTGGGGAAAACTGGGTATCCTGGCCGAGATCCAAACTAATCTCGGGATTGAGAGTAAACCATGTAATTAGAATATACACTCCCCTCATCCAATTCGAGGTTCGAACTCGGGACGGAACATACGTTTTGTGTTTTCATTTCACCGATCAATTACCCATGTCGAGTAAGTGAATTGACAAACTTTCTTGCAACTTTGTTATGAATATACAAAAATTCAACAATTGAAATTCTTGTTTTGTCATGATATCAATAAAAAGGCTCATGGAGTGGTTTAATGGTTAAGTGTAGAGAGAGTATAATGTTTCATGTGAGCAAATCATTTGTATGGGGCTTCCCTTAGCAACTCAGTTCTTTTGATAAAATAAACTACATTTGGATTAATCGGTTAATATCTTCCTGCTTAATCAATTATTGTCATATTAAGTACTATGTTGGATTATGATTAATTCTAAAACTTATATATATATATATATATATATATATATATGTGTGTGTGTGTGTGTGAATTTGTAATGATGCAGGAACGAGGAAAATCAGAAAGAATAATGTTTCATGATTAAATAACCCCCTTCCCCCCAAAAAAAGAATATCTTGAGAGTATAAATAAACCCTAATGAACATATGTAGGACCCATTTTACCCATCAAAACTCATAATTCAATTATAACTCTCAAATTCATCAAATTGTATAATGTACTTTCATTAACTTCAGGTAAATGTAAAATAGCGAATCGATTTTTTTTCAAATTATATATTGTTTTCATGTAAATAAATAGGGTTACTTTCACGATCATCGTCCTTGAATAGGGAGAAATGTCAAATATTTTGAGATTATTTGTTGTATATGTTTGATTTCTCCAACAAAGATGGTTATAAAATAAGCTAGAGGGGATATATATATATATGTGTATATGCATATGATTAGAGTGAGGACTTCACCATATTTTTAGGTTTCAACGAAAATAATAAACATAGGAGACCGATCAACAATCATGAGCTAATTAATTACATATATAATCAAAACACAATTAAAACATTTATAATAATTACACAACAATTAATCCCCAATTAGACTTTTGTGGTCCTGCATGTGCACTTGGTTTGATCTTAGTATATATGCACAAGAAGAATTTGGGACCATTAAGTGAAATTTACTTCAATATATATATATATATATATATATATATATATATATATGTGTGTGTGTGTGTGTGTGTGTTCATTGGAACAAAACAAAATATTTAAGAAAAAAAAAACAAAGAGAATGAAAAAGAGAGAGAGAATCAAAGAGGAGGAGACAAGAAGAAAGAGGAGGCTTTTGGTAAAATGATTAAGGGATGAGGGTTTACTTGTATAATTATGGGTTTTAAGGCACATATGATTATGTCTTGTACTTTATAATTCTTCCTTAAATTAATTCCACCTGCATAATCATACGCCTTAATTCGAGAATTCTCATTTGCATCTTATCATAAACTGTAACGTTTTGGAGGTTGGACCAAAAGTCGTATCCGAATGTTTGGAAAAATAAGTTTTAAAATCTGATTTTGAATATGCAAGTCTCAGATATTCGAGTTTTAGGTATACGAAAAATAATTAAGTATCCATGATACGTGAATCCGAATTAAATAAAATAAAGATAATTTGTATTTTCTAACAAATATCATGAATATTTTTAAAATTTAAGAAGAAATATTATAAACAAGTTTATTTGTTTAAGATGTAATTGGAAGACCCAAAGGATGTAAAATGAGGGCCCAATATTGCATAATGCAAGATGCGGTTTTAAAGTCAGCCCATTTATCCAAATTAGCAGCAGTCGCTTTATTAATTAATATATAATTTATTCAGTTGACTAATTTGTCTTAGAGAAATTTTCAGAAGAAAAATATCGTTATTGGTTTCAACTTTCAATGGCCAATCGATCATATTACACATGCCATGAAAATGAATGCCTAAATGGTAGGAAATTCCAGGTTTCGATTGGTTCTTTTCGTTTTCATTTTTACATTTTAAAACATTATCTTATTTTTTATATTCATTTCGTTTTGAATTTTATTGTTAAAACATTGGAATTTTTATTATTTCATATTTATTTTGGTTCGAATAATTTGATCTAAATTGAAATATTTGCTTCTAGTCCATTGCTATAAAATTACGTCTTCTTTTGTTTTTCTTCTAATGTAAAAAAGGTTAGTTACAGTTTAATAATTCTACCCTTCTTTGTATCAATTCTTACCCACTAATTGTTTAAAAATTTCATAAATTCTTATATTCCAATTTTTTTCGGTTTTATCCTAATAAAATAATATATTGTCGTATAGAGTCGAAGAATAACGAGAGAATACATTACACATTTTAAATTCTATTTTAAACTATTAATGAACATTTACGTTTGTTAGCTAAAATTGTTAAAAATATTATATAAGATTTGTTAAAATTTACGAAATTTCTCTATATATTTCTATCACGTTGGCAATTTCAAGTCATCTCATAGACAAGTTTAGAGGCTTCTGAATTGCAGAGCAAAAAGAAGATTCCATGAAGAAAGAGAAAGTCTTTTTTAATGTCCACATTTCAAGAAATTTAAAATTAATCTTATTCTATTTAGCACGAAATTTAAAATTAAATTGATTTTGTATTATTTTTTTTTTTTGTAACTTCAACAAAAGTAATTCGGATTTAATTTTAACAATGTAACTTCTGACAACGAGAAAGCTCCCGTGCCGCTCAGCATGGAATATTTTTAATTATTCATGGATATTCAACGTTATTAACTCATAATTTGTCACATTAAATTTTAAAATACCCAATCGAGTAAAAAAGAAACTATCTTTCCCCCCAAAAAAATAAATAAATAAAAGAACTCGAAAGAATAAAACAATTGCTTGATAAAACCCTAAGTGTGAGGTAATTATTCCGCTCTGTCACTCCCACACTATTTGATGCCGTGTGAACTGTAAAAGTTACCGTAGTTAATTTATTTAGGGTTTCGGTCAAAGTTCAAACACAAAATAAAAAGAAGAAATCACACGCTTTTACCGATTTCGACAACAATTAAGCCGTTTAATTGGGCATCTTAGTTCATAATCATTAATTTTTTGGACCCACCATCCATATACATAATTGAGTTTAGGAGACGATATATTTATTTAGTTTTGTATTAGATTTTACTTCAATTCAATTTTTATTTTATTCGCTTTAATTTTTAATAAAAATATTCATTTTTCTATTAAAGATTCGGATATTTTTTATTTGAAATAGAATAATTTATTTAAAAAAGAAAATATAAAGTTCGAATTCGATTTCAACATATTTATATATTATCTGGTTTAGTTCAATTTGTTTTGTATAAAAATAGTTATGTTACTCGAGTTTGAGATATTGGGTGTGGCTGGTGTTAAGCCATTTATATAGTTTAATGTCATTTTCAGGAAAATAAAATAAAATAAAAAGACAATGATTTTCTTGCCATACTAAATTTACGTAACTTTATTAATTGGACTGCTTGATTTCTTCATGAGACGCCTTTTATCCATCCATCTCTGCTTCTGAATTTCATATTCCATGTCAACACACACACAGTCCAAATTACAAATAAAAATGTAATTTTCTTCCAATATCATTAAGCTTATTTCTAGATTTTGATTACATCTAAAACGAATAAAATACTGTGATTGTTTTAGTGCTTATCTTTAATTACCATATGTATAATTTTGAAACCATGTATATGTTAGGATCAAAGTATATGTTAAAAATAGTACATTTCATGCGAATATTTATTTGTTCCAAGTCTGTAAAATAAAATAAATTTTGTCTCATGTGAAATACTCCTTCCGTTTCACAATACTTACGTTTTAATTTTTTTCATATTTTTTTTAAGAAAACAATAAAAATTCATATATACCTTTTAATAATACAAATATTGATGTTATCATTGATAATCTATTGAAATTTGTTATTTTTTATTAAAGATAAAATTGGAAATTATTTTAAAATTTTGTCTAGAAAACCTATCTAAAACGTTAAATATTGTGAAACGGATAGAGTAATTAATTCCATTGATTTTGAATATTGATAATTGCGTATGATATATTTGAAGAATCGATAACTGGAATTCCCATGCAATTTAACAAAAACCCATTGTATGAACCCTTGGATATTTTATTTTCATAGAGAGAGCCATCGGTGGTTACAGTACCATCAATCACATGAACGGTCCATTAATTATTTCTGTGCATTAACATCGATTGCAATTAATATTATGACTTATTGTTAGTTTAAGTTGGTGAGCTGAATTAAATGTTTGTATAGACCCCCCCCCCCCCCC